CCCCAGTGTATGTTTTTGTTTGCTTTGTTAAAAATCAGATGGGGTTATGAGATTGGCTTTATATCTGGGTTCTCAGTCCTATTCCATTGGTCAATGTCTGAGTTCTTGTGCCAGTGCCATGATGTTTTGATTACTATAGCTTTGTAGCATAGCTTGAAGTCTGGTAAACTGATGCCTCCCACTTTGTTCTTTTTGTTTAAGGTTGCTTTAGCTACATGGGGTCTTCTTCGGTTCTATATGGAGTGTAGAATTATTTTTTCTAGATCTGCAAAAAATGATGTTGGTATTTTAACAGGGATTGCATTGAATCTGTAGATCACTTTGGGTAGTATAGACATTTTAACAATGTTGATTCTGCCAATCCATGAGCATGGTACTGTTTTCCACCTGTTTATGTCTCTTCCATTTCCTTCCTCAATGTTTCATAGTTCTACTTGTAGAGATCTTTCACCTCCTTAGTTAAATATATTCCTAGGTGTTTTATTTTCTTTGTGGCTATTGGAAAGGTATTGAGTCTTTAATTTGGTTTTCAGCTTGACTGTTGTTGGCATATATGAATGCTACTGATTTGTGTACATTGATTTTTATACCCTGAGACTTTGCTGAATTTATTTATCAATTCCAGTAGGGAGGATGGGAGGGGTAAATTCATACCTAATGGGCGTGATACATGCTATCTGGGGGTTGGGCACACTTGTAGCTCTGACTGGGGCTGTACAAAGGCAATTTATGTAACCAAAGTGTTTGTGCCCCCGTGATATTCTGAAATAAATAAATAAATAAATAAAATGGGGACCATCTTTGGTTTGATTTTATATGCTAATTCAAGCAGAAAAATATTCACAAATTATTTTAGACATGGATTTTGACTTTATTGGTATAAAGTAAAACAAAGTATTTTGCTTATTATTGTTGATTCAATGTGTGTAGTGATACAAGGAATGAAGAGAAGCAACTCACAATGGTCATGGGGTTTCCCCCAGAGGTTTCTGTTGATTTAGAATTTGCTCCGGGAAATACTGCAAATCTAAAGAGACTTTTTCCTCCGAGGACTAATTTTAATCTTTTCTTTTTGTGTCAATCCTTTTGACTGTCTCTCCCACTCCTTCCTCTCTTGAAGGGAAAGGGAGATAACAGAGACAGGCTGGGAAGGAGGAGGTGAGAAGCCACCAAGCAAGGGACACCTTAGGTTGTGTCTCTGCTTCATGCGAGGCTAACCCCTTAGCTCTTTGTATATGATTGGTTCATTTAATTCAAGTAATTATCCTATGAAGTAGCTAGTGAGTTTATGGAAGAGACAGTTAGGATTTAGGAAAGCTACCCAAGTGGTAACTGGTAGAGCTGAGATTTAAACTCAGATGTCCCTGACTCCAAGACATGCTCTTTGTGTTGGGCCACCAGGAGATCTGAGAGGTTGAGTCCGGCCTCCTCATCTTGTATTTAAATAAGTACATTAAGTGTATGGTTACCACATATCAAAAAGATTTTCTCAATCACAAACTATGCTAAGCATTTTATGTACAATATCTGACCTAATAAGCATGCCATACCTCAGAGCTCAGCTGTCTACTCTCCTGAATTGTTAGGGGTTTGTTCCTCTGAGAAATGGAGTACAGAAGTGTCTTTGCGAGTTATGGCTTTTAAAAATACACACGTCCACACGTTGTTTTCCTTTTTATATCAGTGAACGCTAATATAATAAATCAGAAAAGAGGTTTCTGATAGTTCACCTTATAAATTGCTTTCAACTCCAGTTACAGTTAAACTAGAGTTATTCATCTCAAGAGATTACTTTGAAAAGTTCTGTATCGTGAAGGCGAACATGTCAAAATAGTTCTTTTCTCAGAAACGCTGGAAGCATCTCTACGTTTAAGCAAGTTTCCAGTGCAGTGTGTATAATAAATCACCTGTCTCTGTTTCAAAATTGTCAGCAGCAGAATGGAAACTGCAGTACTTACCAAAGGATCAAGTGCTGAAATAAAAACAATCTGCCTTTTAACAGTCATGCTTTTTTCACATACATCACAGTCGCTTTCTGGAAGAAACTGTTCGGTATATTTACTGAATGAGCAGCAATGGCCATTGACCTTTGATACATGGAACCTGGGGTGTCATTGGACCGTTTCTTCTTGGTCCCTTTAGCATTTGCTACATGCTTGCAGAGCGCACGGAGGTATGGCAGATAGCATGGCGGGAGAAGGAGAAACACGATGAACTTGGAAGACCCTGTTCTTGCCCTCGCAGAGATGAATAGCTGTGTCAGATCAAGTGAAGAATGCTAAATCTCCTGTTCCTCCTCTTTCCCTTTCTGTTCTCCCTCGCAGCCAGTCAGTGCTGTGTTCTGTCCACAGCAGTGATGAGAAATAGGGCCTTCCTCTGTGCTTGATAAAGAATGATGGGGTGTGTCTTTGCCCACCACACGTACCCAGTGTGTAGCTTGTCCTGCCACATGGAGCATTCAAAACCCTGCCTTTCATGTTGCACATACACTACTGGAAGTCATACAAAAAGAAAGATAAATTATAAAGACATAGAAAGCCCACTCTGAATATGCTTGGGGAGTGAAAAACTGAATGTCTAAGAAAATCTCAGCCCAAGGTACACCTTTGTCCTTTTCAAGGGTGAGGTGTGGCTGGGAAGGAACATATGCCAGAGACTTGCTGTGCCACATTGCTGCGAATTTGTTCATATCATTTAATCCTCCTGAATCTCAATGTCTAAATGTGTAAGAGATCAAGCAAAATACTACGTATTGGGCACTGGGGAATCCCTTTCCGTCTTCTCTGCATAAATGCGTCTTGGTTCTGCTGTCCTTGCTTGTTACTCTGATTTCTGTCCCTATGAGGAAGAATGAGCTGGATGCTCTATATATGGAATAGCTGTAATCGGAGGGCGCCCTTCAGCCGCGCACTAGAGTGACATCCGTGGAAGTGGGGTTCCTTGCAAGATCCTCTTGCCAGACTTCACACCTAGACTGTTCCACGGACAGTTGTTGTTTTAGATCATTTGAGAGTCTGTTTACTTGCATGAGAGAAAGCTCAGTCTTACTACTTAATTGTCAACCTTGTTTTTTGGCCATCCCCACTCCAACCTGAAGTGCTGCTCTAAAGAATTTTTAACTGCTTTCTGAATTGAACTGTTCCCTTTAGAGAAGAAGATGTCCGATTGCTAATGTCATTCTAAGGAGCATGTTGCTGGCTCTGGAGTAGTGTAGAAAATATGTTGAGTAACCATTGCAATAGGGATGACTTTTGAGTAGAACTTAGTGTGTTTTTAAGCTTTGAATGTGGATTCTAAAAAAAAAAAATTCTTCATCATTTCGTGCATGTTGTATTTTCTCTAAAAATAATTTGTGAATGAAAAGTCGCTGGAGAACTGTGGGAGAGTGGAAGAGGTGGTTTAGTGAGGCCGACAGGTGGCTGGTTAGCTAGGGATTTGGGAACACGAGTTGATGGAGGAGCACTTTAGAGTTTTCAGAAATCCTCTCTGCTCCCGTCGGGGGGCGGTTTAGATTAAAAGGCTTGTTTCATGTAACATAAATCATACTTGTAAGAACAGGAAATTCATTGTTTAATTGTAAAGGCAAATTTTTTTCCTATGCCATTTTATTTTAGTATACACATAAAGTTACAGAGATCATATAATTTTGCTCCACTCTTTAATTTATTGCTGAATATATTATTGTGTCCTTTAAAGCTATAGAATTTCTTTATTCATTTGAAATTTTATTTTGTTTTATTTTATTTTTTTAGAGACAGGATCTTGCTCTGTCACCAAGGCTGGAGTGCAATGTCATGATCATAGATTACTGTAGCCTCAAACTCCTGGGCCACCACACTCAACTAATTTTTTTTTTTTAATTATTTTGTTGAGATGGGGTCTCCCTGTGTTGTTCAGGCTGGTCTCAAACTCTTGGCCTCAAGCAATCCTCCTGCCCTGGCCTCCCAAACTGCTGAGATTACAGGCATGAGCCACTGTACCTGGCCTTTGAAAATGTTTTATTTTTCAAGGTTTAATGTTCAGATTTATAGCTTTATGTATGAATAAAATGTCTTTGTTATCTTTTCACATTTAAAAATCATCCCTTGATAAAATATTATTGTAGGTTTACGAAAAGACCTTCCTACAAATATATCTGTGCTTTTCTAACTAAAGTTTGAAATAGTGACCAATATAGGAAACAGGCTAGTTTGTTGTAACTGAAAGCATCAGTCCTGAATGATGCAATTAAGAAAGGATAATTTTATAAGTCAGTGATGCTTGATGACATGTGTTACTTTTCTTGTTATGTTGAAAGGAAAATAATGAGTCGATTTCCAGAGATATAACTAAAAGCAAGTATGGCCACAGAAGCCTAGCTGTTCATATCCCTGCACATTTATTTTCTTTAGATACAGTTAATTGAAGCTCTTATATAAGTTTATATTGGACAATGAATATGTAATAGGAATATTTTTTAAAGAAATTAATGTCTCAGAAATTGCAGAATGGAGAGCAAATCACTTTTTTGGCCCCCTTTGCTCTCTACATTGAAAGAATTTCTCTAGAAAAAATAGATTTTGTGCATAAGTTAAAGCCACTTGTACGCACCTAGTATGTAGGGTGAAATCAGCCTAAAACAAACACTGACGGTAACCACAAAGAAAAATGCCACCAAAAGTACCCATTTGGTGGGACTATAGAATATGATTTTATGGATAGAAGTGACAGTAGTTTTAGTGAGGATCAGAGCCACTTTTTGCCTTCTATATACCAGTCATTGTAGTCATTATAGTCTTTGAAACAATCCAACCCTTGGAGTAGGGAAAAAAGGATTAAATTCTATGTAAAGTGAAATAAATGGTGATGATATTCATATTCAGAGTCTTGTTCTTCATTCTTGATATGTTTTCTAAGACCCTCACATGGCATATTTGTATGGATTAATTTCCCTAATGACATCACAGATGGGAAGAAAAAAAGCTGTGTTTGATTTATCACCTGTATTTTCTCACTTTTAGGGCGTGTTGGAGAGTTTTTTGGGCACTGCTGTCTCGGGAGCCATCTTTTGCCTTTTTGCTGGTCAACCACTCACTATATTGAGCAGCACTGGACCTGTCCTGGTTTTTGAGAGGCTTCTATTTAATTTCAGCAAGTACGTATGCACACGTTTCATTATAAATGAGAATTGTTCGACTGTAGAACATTCACAGTCTAGGCAGGTCGTGGAATAGTAATTAGGTAGCTCCATGCATCAGGTGACTGGAATGTTAAGATTTGGAAGTTGGAAGGGCCTTGGGGATTAAGTGGTCTAACACGCATTCTACTTCTGATTCAGCGGAGGCCCGTGGGTTGTATGTTCTGCTTGCCCCTGCCCAGTTATGGATGGCAACATCCGGGCTCCTTTGCTCTCTGGCTTCCTGCTGAGTTTGGCTAATGGGCTGCCGCTGCGGGACAGGCGGAGAGAGAGTGGTCTGAGTGTGTCTGCCTCTCCCTCCTCGCTGTCTCTGCCGTGGCACAGCAGTCTGGACTGCAGGCCCTGTCGGGCGGCCCCTGTCCCATGGCCCAGCCCCTGCCAGGCTCTGGTCACCGTTTCTCCCTTGGCCTTTTCATGCCTGGACTTAGCAATGGCTTCCTGTCCTTGCTGGGCCCCGAGCGCCTCTTCATTCTTTGTTACTCACGCTTCCGTGAATAGCCCCTTTATTGAAGTTTTCCTCAGAATCTTGTTTGAGGTTGAGAATGCCTTCTGTTTCCTGTCAGGGTCCTTCCTGATGTGCTAGAGAAATTAAATGACTTGTGTAAGGTCACACGGTTCATTAGTGGAAAAGACTGGATGCCTGTTACTCAGTCTACGCCTCCTACCCCAGTTCTGGTGCTCTTAACTAAGACAGCTTTCAGACTCAGCTGAGTAATCACTAACACTTACTGAGTGCTGATCACGTGCCACGAGTTATCCTAAGCACTTTACGTGTACGGACTCATTTGATTCTTACAGTGATCCTAGGAGGTAGGGACCACATCCTGTTTTACAAACGAGAAAACAGGTACAGCACGGAATAAGTAAATGGCTGAGTGTTACATCAGCAGTCATTGGTAAGGCTGTGATTTGAATTCCTGCTTTCTGACTGCAGAGCCCAAGTCCCTTAAGGAATCACTAGACATTGCTAATGAGCATGACAGTTACGATATTCATATCTTCTTTTAGAAATTGATGGGTCATTTTAAGAAGGGGAAAATTGAGGTAAGTGAATTATCCAAGTGGCCACATTAGTACGCAAATAGATTGAAAATTCAGTTGAGTATTCTGGCCTCTTTGTAATGCCCTTGATACCTCTAAGAGAGAATGGCTTTTACTGGCAGAACTCAATCCTTAGGTAGATTGCAGAATTTCATATGGCTTACTAATACTCCTTGTTGGAATTTCCATATTCTTACATTATTATACATTTTTAGGATTTTAATTTTAGAGATGTCACTACATAGTATCTCATGAACTTAAGGACTCATATATACCCTTTCAAACTCTCCATGTTATCAAAAATGATCATAAACTAGAGGAGGGAATGAGAATTTAAAACCAATTTTTTAAAAAGTGGGTTGAGAACATCAGCAAGAGTCTTCTAAGAATGTTAAGTTCCAAATTTTAAACAATGTTATGAGTTTTCTGCAGATCCTCATTACAAATCCCTCCTCCATCATAATTCTCAAAAGAACTTTGGAAAGAATTTTATTCATGTCAGTTTATAGAAAGAGTCAAACAGCTTTTATATGTTTAAGAAAACATCGTGTGAGACAAGAAAGCCGTTATGGAAAGATTAAACAAGAATGTACTATAAACAGGAACAAACATGCACAACCTTTGCAGAAAGATTTATTGGATGAAATATGATCAGAACCCTAATCTACAGAAAATGTTTGCATCTCAGTTTGCTTTAAATAATTGTGGGGCAGAAATGATTTATTTTCACTGAACAAGTTCTTCTCTCACTTTCCCTTTTGTTTTAACATAATTGGTAGCATAACGTAGCTCCAGTGGATTTATTTGAAAACAGTTATAAAGCAACAAGAAACATTTGAAAAACCATGCTTTAAATTTTACATCACTGAGTATTATGTGCCAAACATTATTTTATTCACAATGTTACATCATTTGCTTGTGTTACAGCAGCAGTGATATTTTGTCTAGATACAGAATATTTGTATAGATCATTGTTTCCTAAAGTGTGTTTCATCTACTATTAGTTTCATTAGATGTCCCATGAAAAAAAAATCTGTGATCCCAATAAATCTGGAAAGTACCTATATGATTTCCCTCTCTTGGTAATTCACTTTATACTTTAGCATACTAAGGGCTCTGAGCTGTCCTTCAGTTAAGAAATTATTTTATTTTGTCTTGCTCAGATTTCCTCCAACATATTTTAACATTTTTGGAAAATTAGGTAAATCTTTTTTTTGTAGGTTCAATGGACTCAAACAGTAACTCCACATAATCCATAGATTTATGTGTGAGGTTTTAATATTTGCCTTGTAAAAGGGAGGATCATAAAGGAATATGAATTATATGCTGTCACCTCTTAAGATTAGTAATAGAATGAAGAAACTAGCTCATGATTTTCCAAAAGATACTTGTAGTTTATTACCTAAATTTTGCAATCTCTTTTGCATTATTTTTATACTTTGTATCCCCAAAATAGAGAATTAGGCCCCTTTTTTTTCCTTGAATAAGGAATCTCAAAGAAGTTTTAGCAATGTGCTCCAAGCCATATAAAAACTTCACAATTAAAGTTGGATTTTGGCTTCTATTATTATCATTTGGTCACTCAGTAATTTCTTTCCTATATTCTTTGAACTATTTAGACCTTCAAATTATTATTTTCTTCCATTATATTGCTGGATTTATTCCTTTTTTTTTATTTATTTTATTTTTTTTTAATACCACTTAAAGATGCTATATTCCTTTAGTTTAGGGAGTTTGTATGTATATTTGTCAGTGGCTGCACATTAATTTCTGTAGCATGTTTCAGATGTGACTCTGCAGTCTCTCTGTATCCTTGGTTTTATGCTACTGAGAAGCTATAACTCAAAATATCTAGGAATACTGAATGCTAGCATAAAGATGTAAATCTGTTTTCTCCTAATTGACCATAATTTCTTCTTCGGTCTCTAATATCATTTCCTGTTGCTTTTTATAACTTAATTGCTATTTAAACTTGGCACCAAGGGGACTTTTTGGATGTAATAGTACTATTTTATTATAGTCATTACTGATGATCAACTTGTTTAAGTTTCACATCTTTTATTCCTCTTTCTTCTCGATTCTCTAAACATACCACTTTCCTAATGAAGTGCCATAGGTTTTATTGACTTTACTTGAGTCATTCTTATTGAACTCTCTAGTATTTAACTCTTTTAGAGCAGCTAATTTGGTATATTGTTTAGGTTCTAAGATTTAAGTTTATACATGTAGTTTTTCCTTTGTACCCAAACTGATGGTGTTTCTAACCCTTAGCTAGTTAATGGATTTGTTACTCAGCCTATCTTGTAAACATCAATTCTCTAAACAACTACTAGCATTCTTAGAACAAATCAAGATTGCCCTAACTTTCAGCTTCCTAGAGAAACCAAGCTAGGTAATTGTTGAGAACTTTTATTTTAAGAAAAAAGTGTGTTGGCTCAGAAGTAGTAAAACTATGTTGCTGAGCTCTTATTGTGACATTGACTCATTGTTTGATAAATGTAAATTATCCCAAATTAGAATTCAGTTTTTTTCTATAGTATACTTATCTCTTGAAGACATGCATAAGATTAAACAATAGGATCCCATGCTTAAGGAGAACTGGAAGGGAATACCTAAGCTGTCTTCAGAAAGATTCCAGAAAAGCTGTAGACAATTACTTTCTACCCCAGTGTTAATAATGTCCTGCTTTGGAAATGTATCCCAGTTTGTGTGATTTGATGAGAAGAGGGAAACAAAGGACAATAACTTTGTTTTGCCTACCCTATCTTGAGCTAAATACAAATTGGATAGGGGAACCAGAATATAATTTTTAAAAGGACCATTCAAGAATCAAGAGATTTGGTTTCTGGCCCAGCTCTGCTGTTAAAACTTGACCTTGGATAAGTGACTTCCATTGGTCTTAGTGTCCTCATCTATAAAATGAGGCATATTTGACAAATTGGTATGTGATTAGTGTTCTCCAGGGAAACAGAACCAGTAAGTGGTGTGTGTGTGTGTGCACACGTGTGTGTGTGTGTGTGTGTGTGTGTGTGTGTGTGTGTGTGTGTAATTGGCTCATGCAATTATAGAGGCTGGCAAGTCCAAAATCCACAGAGCAAGCTTCCCGACTGGAGACCCAGGAGAGCCAGTGAACCAGTCTGAGTCCAAAGACCATCTGTTATAGAATCAGGAAGAGCTGATGTTGCAGAAGTTCAAAGGCAGTGTGCTGGAAAATTATCTCTTGCCCAGGGGAAGGCCAATCTATTTTGTTCTATTCAGGCTTTCAGCTGATTGGATGAGACCCACCCATGTTATTGAGGGTGACCTGCTGTATTCAAAGCCTCCCAACTTAAATGTTAGTCCTTCCAAAAATATGTTTAAAGGAACACCTAGAATAATGTTTGATCAAATATCTGGTCACCTTGTAGTCCAGTCAAGTTGACACAAAATTAACCATCGCAGTACCTAAGTGACTTTTAATTCCCATATGCTATAATTTTCAGCTATCACAGGACCAGTTGTGTCCTGGTGACATGTAATAGTTCATGAGCCAAAGTCTTATGGTCCATAAGCCAAAGACAGTGCCTGTCTTAGTCAAGTCTTCAGCTACAGGAATGCATTCATTCATTCATTCATTCATCTAGTAAGAAAATTTGAATTTTATTCTAAGGGCAGTGGGAAGCTTACTGAAATGTAAGGTATATGATAAATGCTGGGTATCTGATTTACATTTTAAAATACTGTTTTGGCTTTGGTGTGGAAAATGGCTTTAAGCAGGGCAGGCATAGATACCAGTGAGGAGGTTCTCACCAGGCAGAGACTTAACTGGTGGCCTGGATGGGGTTGGTGATGTACAGTGGGGAGATGACGCCTTTGGAACATTATAAAATATATCACTAGCAGCTATCAGAAACGCACTGTCTAAAAGCAAGGCCGTAGAGCTTGAAGCATGCATGATCCTTGATTTATTTCTTTTTCTCATGCAAGAAATGCTATTTGCCTTTTCATTACAAATAAATTATGAGTTAAAAATCACTTTAAAGCACCCTTCACCTATTTTTGAAAAAATCATAGAATGGTAAAATGTTGACACTTAGCCTATTTTTTCATAGTTGTGAATCTTGAATTAATTCAGTTGCAAGAAATGAGAAGGTGTGTCTAAAGGCGATGGCCTTCTCGGATGGAGGTGGCCTGTTCTAAGTCTGATGTGGGACAGACGCAGGCAGGAAAAGGTGGTCACAAGATGCTTCACACGCAACTTCAGCATCAGGATATAAGATCTGTGGGCAGACTTCATGAGAGGCGGTAAAGTCTGGTGTGGTGAGGCAGCCATTCTTGAGCTGATAACAGCCTACATTTTTAACGTCATCTTTTCACGTTGGTGGCACTCTGTCCACAGTGAGCCTAAATGCACCATCTCATGCCACATGCCTTTTTAGCTACTCTTGCCTCTTCCTGGCCTGACTGTCCCTGATCTGTCTGGAAGGTTCCTACTTATCCTTAAATACCTTGAGTATTTTCTGCAACTCTGTCTCCCCAGCCAAAATTAGTAACTCCTTCTTTGATAACACTATCACTTAGTATTTTATAGTGCCTGATTATGTTTATCAATTTGTTTCCCTCAGTAGACTACAATGGCTTGGGGATAGAGAACATATTGATTGCAGTGTCTTCATTAACCAGTAAAATTCATATTTATCAAATACACACTTAGTACCAGTGTTAGGCTTTCCAATTATTTACTCTGTAAACTCCATGAAGGCAGAGACCATATTTTTTGAATGAGAAAAATAATGAGTTATTCACATGTAAATGGTATGACTACTTCCGATGGTCTTCTCTTAAACTTCTATTTTTACTTTATTTATGCCACTAGACCAAATCTCTTAAAGTTAGTACTTTCTAGATAGAATCGAGTTTTGTATCTAGTGGCTAAAAGTGATCGTGTATTTTTAGCAATCATTCTGTAGACATTAGTTTTATATTATTCTTTATGTTTCACAGAGGAGGAGTCTAAACACCATTCTTTCTTCTTTCAGAGACAATAATTTTGACTATTTGGAGTTTCGCCTTTGGATTGGCCTGTGGTCAGCCTTCCTGTGTCTCATTTTAGTAGCCACTGATGCCAGCTTCTTGGTTCAGTACTTCACTCGTTTCACGGAAGAGGGCTTCTCTTCCTTGATTAGCTTCATCTTTATCTACGATGCTTTCAAGAAGATGATCAAGCTAGCAGATTACTACCCCATCAACTCCAACTTCAAAGTGGGCTACAATACTCACTTTTCCTGTGCCTGTGTGCCGCCTGACCCAGGTGAGGCCACTGTGCTTACTGTCTGCGCTGGCCCCGTCTTTGGAGGAGGGCGTAGGCCCCGTGCTCGCAGATTTTCAAATTGCTGTCGTGATCCTCAGGAGTGGGTCTTCTTTTATGTTCTCTGAGAAGCTATGCTACTGAATTGGAAGTCTCACTTGAAGTCGGAGGTATCTTAGCTGTGTGATTCAATAAGGAAGTGAACCCAAGAGCTCTGGAATGTGAACATAACCAGCTCAATATTGTGAAATTAACTCAAACTGCATTATTTGCAAGTAATTGATGTGCACATTTTTTGTGATCTTACAAGTGAGGAAACCCAGATACATATATTAACAGATACAAAGACGGAACAGACCTAGTCTGCTGCCACTTCCTAATTGCTATAGGAATCTCTTTCTTCAAGTAAACTCTTAATAGATATTTTAAGCTTATAAAAGAAACAAAATTCCCCATTTACTTCATATAAGTAATGAAGGATGAAAAAAAGAAATTGAGATTAGAATTGCCTAGTGATAAAGTAGAGCTTTATAGTTTATCTCTACTAGACAATGTAAATAAGAAAAGAAAGGAAAGGAAAAGAAGAAACAAAAGAAGGAATGTTATGTTCTAGGAGTAGATTTATATTCTAGAGTCAGGCAAAACATAAAAGTAAAAATAACTTCTGAGTAAGCAATTTGATTCTATATATCTCAGTACTTTAACATCTATCTTGCCAAACATGAGTTGACATCAGAAATTTTTCACAAATACAATGTTCAATTTGGTCTTTGGAATGTTTCTTGGAGTAATTCATCACCAGTGTACAATACGGAAGGCGTTTGAAAAAAGGATTTACTTTGACGAAAGTTATTTTAGATCTTCTCTAGTAGGAAAACGGACAGTTGTGTCAGACAAATGTTGGTAGTACTAGAAATCAGAGTTATGCAATTAGCTATAGGTCGATGTTCCTTAACACATTGACTGCCACATTAGAAAAAAAAAATGTTTTCCTTGGGGCCATGGCATTTTATTAGGAAAATAGAATAAGAACTTCGAAAACAAAATGATCCTTTCTAATTTAATGAAAATTTGTTATTTTTTATTGTTTTCTGTGCATGAGTTAAATATGCAACTTGAAAAATAGTTCACGTGGTTCCCAAGGTAGAGACATGTGAGTTACATATGCTTCATGAGGCCTCTGGCTCAAAACTATGAGTTAAATACAACTCACATGACAGTTAATATGTTAAAATAAAACTTGCTACACCATCCATGCTTTTTAACCAAGGCCTTTTTAGCACCAGAAATATACCAGTATCCTGAGGCTGGGGCATACTTGTGAGGAACATTCATGCAGTGTCTACTTTTACTTATAGAGACTGTGGGAAAAACCTCTTGATGTTTATAGTAAAGCACACATTGTTATATTATAGGCTAGAATGTAAAATGCTATGAATTTTTTAAAGCAGTAAGATACAATGAAGAACTTTAATGCTTGTGGCAGGCTGTGTCAGATTACTCCCAGATATTTTGGTGGTGCTACTTGTTCCTCTCTGACACTTTGGGAGAAGCCTTAGAAGACTGACATACATGCATCTTGAGTGCTGGGAGAACAGAGAACTCTACCTCCCCCCAGATGAATGGCTCAGTAGCGCTGATTAAAAGATAGGGCATTGTTGGGCTTTGCATGCATTGATTCTTTTTTTCTTGTTTAAGGTAAATCAAAACATGTTAAAATGAAGCCCACACTTAAAATCAATGCAGAAATGGATACAAAATAGAAATTTTAAAGATTCAGAAGAACACGAATAATATATAGTTATAAAAGCCTAGTATTGTTCAGATGTATACTGATTTAAAATATTTCATAGTGTTTTAAAAGTGCTTTGAAAAACATAGGCACTCAATACATGGTATTATTACTAGAATCAGTTAAACATGCTCCCCAAAGGAACACAGATGTTACCATTACACAACTATGTGACTCTTCTTAGGCGAGAAGAGAGGCAAAACCCCCTTTAAGTGTGAGTGATAATGTGAAAGTAAGTTTACAGCCTGGACTTGCAGGAAAGTCCAGATATTCAAAATATTGGCGTCACGGGCATATTTAATTATGGGATTTTGAATTTTCATTTTCATTTATTTACATCTGTGTACAAGTATATGAAAAAATCTGTAAGCTGACTTACTAGGCAAGTTTGGGTCATCATACACTAAGATTTTCTCAAGGAATAAAAACTACCACTCAGCTCTTCTGAGGTTTGAGGCATGCATAAAGCAGATAAGGGCTTTGTCACCACATCTGTCACACCGTCACATGGAGAAGAGACATACCCTGTGTCAGCCCCAGACCCACCTGAGGCTAATAAAACTTGCCTTCACTGTTTTAGTAGTTGGAGGCTGGCAGAGATAGTAATACGAAATCCAGGAAGGCACATCTGAATGTGTTCAAGCTGTGAAAAAATGCATCGAAGATTTTACGTGTAGTTTTCCTTCCAAAAAGGATCTTTGTTTTGTCGAAAAAGTGATATTGAGGATTGAACCAATTTTACCCTGACGTGGCTAGTGTAGGCTCAAGTGGTGCTAGCTTTTCCTTTGTCCTTTTCCCCCCAGGTTTGGTAAAAAGTCAGTCCTGAATGAGTAAGGAGCTGTTTTAGAAGGACTCTGACAGTTCCTGCCACCTCTAGTGACATTAGTAAGCAGTGTAGCAGGGCTTCGATGTCGGAAAATCTTGTATTCCAGCTCAGGCTGGCTCATGCCAAATGTGTGACTTTTGGCAAGTTCCTTTTCCAAGGTAGCTTAGCTTCACCTTCCTCACCTGTAAAGTAAGGTTAATAATAGTACCTACCTTTATAGAATTGTTTTGAAGGGAAAAGAAAACTATTACAAGTAAAATACTCAGGAGAGTTTCTAATAGTAAGTAATCGACTCTTAGCTGCCATTATTATTGCTGTTATTATCCATTAAAATTTAGGATTAGTACGTAGCCTTTAAGTGTGAGTGATAGTGCGAACAAACCTGTCTATCTTCATCATCCTTCCTTCTAAGCATATGTCATTGGGCCCATTCAACAATAAGACTGTTGGCTATACCGCTTATTTCTGGTTGTCCAGATGATTGTCACTCATGAAAGATGTGTGGACATGGACGTAAAGAATTATTTAAATTTATGGCAATGAAATCTATTTGTGGTTTGGAGAAAAGGCAAATGGATATTTGCATTTTCATGGCAATATCATGTTTAACAAAACCCCATAAGATTAATGATTGTGTATTTCTCCCTAACCTTAAAACTTTTTTATAGCAAACTACGTAGATCCATCATAAATTTAGTACTTCTTGACAGCAAACTGAAAATTGATAGTGAAAGAATAATATAGTTGCATGTACAGCTCGAATAAGTATTCTAAAAACAACAAAAGACTGGCCTTTCATCCCAACATGCACTCTTTGTAAAAGAATTCAATCAATGAGTCAATAATATTTAAACTGGCTGATGACTTGTTTTTCAACACTGGGACAATATGTAACAATGAACCAGCAACTGTGCAGATGGAGTCATGACCCTACAAACTGAGAAATGATTTTATGGAATGGAAATAGAGGTCACTAATCACTAAGAAAACCTCTCTTCATGGCCACAATATATTTTGGCTGCTTGTGTGTGTGTGTGTGCTTTGTGAAGCAACTCTGCCTCCTCTTCTCCTTCTGCTCTTTCTTGTTCTCACTTGCTTCTAGGAACCTCACCAGTTTCTGAATTTTCTTTTTTAAATGTACCTTTTTCTCCCTTAACGCCCAACTATTGCTGGGTAACCCAAGTCATATACGGAAGTTTACTGAAGAAATAAAATAAGGAAGCTCACTTGCAAGTGCTAGTATGAAAATTAGCCGGAAAGTTTGACATATATATACAAGTGGGTACATGGCATACATGAATGCTACTGAGTTAACATTGCCTTTTATTAGAAATGGGACAGCTGTTAATGTAGAGGAAAGAGGTGTTCTATTTACCACTGTACCATCATAATTACATAGCATAGGCATGAAGAAAGAAGATCATTTTAGTTCAAAAGCCAAAACCAAAAACTGAAAAGTACCCAATTGAATGACAATACACAGTATCTCATTTTATCACCATCATCCCAATTTAGAAACTGTTAATGTGGTGTAGGGTATAAGCAATATGTGCTTTGGAATGAAGGAAACTGCTTTTGAATTTCAGCTCTGCTACTAACTAGCAGTGTGACTCTGAATTAGGCTAATTACTTAATCTCTTTGTTTCATAATCTATCTGATTAGGTTAGAGGTTACTATAAAGATTAAATGAGATAGTATGTATGAAATTGACACCTAATGGACACTAAGTAAAACTTTGTTCTTTTTCACATTTCTCAGTGTCATACAAGAGATGCCCCAGTCTGTTTAATCTTTTAGTTGTATTCTTTAAAGGGGTTCAAACATTTAATTATCCCAGAACTTTTCCTAAGGGAAGATACTATCTAGTTTTCTACTGTAAGCCTCCCTCCTCCCTCAAAATTAACAACCAGTATGCTGCTATAGATAAGTATGAAACACTGAAACTATATTTAAAGAAAAAAAAGTTAGAGTCAGTGCATGTTAGTTAACATATTTAATACTCTTCCAGTGAATCTTAAGACTAAAAAGGTGTTGCATGATATACAAGGTCATGCAGAAAGGCTTTAAAGTCCTAGAGGTAAGATGCTCAGTTCTTATATGAGGAATGTATTTAATTCAGTCAGAAGCATAAATGCTAGAGTTTTGTACATAGGGAACATGACGTGGACATCCTACCTTCCTCTTGCCTTCTCTTTTCTCCCCTGCCTTTTTTTCCTTCTTGCTTGTTCATCACCAAACTTTTACTAAGGGTCTATTTTATCACTTTTCAAGAATTGTGCTACTTGCAATGAAATAGAATACACACGCACACACAAATTTATACATATTGCTTTTTATATGATGTATTGTTTTTAAAATTGTGTTATTTTTTAAAGCCAGATTTT